ATCCATAGATAAATGACTGTAGATCTTTCCAAGTGAGTTTTGGTTTGTCCAGTGAGCCTGATCCCTCCGAGGCTGGCTGCCGTCCAGGAGCTAGGTCCTGGAAGAAGAGAAGAAGGGAGTACTGGAGAAAGAGAAAAAGGACATGGTAGAGCCTTGGAATGGAGTGTTCAGAAGAGTGAGGTAAGAAATCTAGTTCAGATCCCTGGAGGAGGTCTAAACTGGCCGGGGGCAGGGGTGGGATGGGGTGGGTGGGTCAGGACCCTAACAGTCCTCTTTGTCTGTGCTTGAGTACTGGGTGCCCTCCAGTGGCACCTCAGTTCTTGCTCAGCCTAGGAGGGGTATCAGAAAAGGCAGGACACTGCAGAAGGGGAGACTCTGCTCTGAAAGAGGAGGATGGGGAGACAGGTGAGCAGGAGCTGCTGGGAGACAGGATCAGCTAAGGAGGGAATGCGGTGAGCTGGCAGCCCGGGGTTGGCACTCACACTATTGACTACAAGCAGAGCAGTTAAGGGGCTGCAAGGGCAGGTATTGGGGGCCTCAGGTTCTCAGATTTGGGGGTCAATGGGCCAGTCCCAGCACCCAAGCTGGCACCTAGGAGAAAAGAGGGCATCCCAGCAGCGGTGCCACTTGGGGTTGGGAACCCCAGAGTCTGGAGTTGCTCCCTGCCCACTGCTCTGTTCCCCCTTGGAGTGAGCAGGTGTTAAGCTGCCTATCAAGTGACAGTCCTTTCAGCTCCTGCCCCTTGAATGACTGGGCTGGAAACGCCCCCAGCATGACAACCCCCAAGTGAAAAAGGCTCACGTTGCCCTGGTATGCGCTGACCACACCACGGCTACCCAGCCTTGGTTCTGCCAGCAGGCACCCTTCAGCTACAAAAACAAGTGGAGGCAGCAGTGCTGGGCAGAGGCACCTGGACACAATTTATTCCAGTATCTTGCCTGGGAAGGTGGGTGAAGCGCAGGACACAGGAATCATCCCCACCAGGACGCACTCAGTCCCAGCAAGGAGAATCCAGGAGGTACTGCCGAACCCCTCAAACCCCCCTCCTCCCATTTAGGGCCAAATCAAACGGAGCCTTGCAAAGGCTTGGTCTGCTTTGCTGAGCAAATCGCCTCGTTAGCCGTTTCCGCTTGACGAGGCTGGCGCGGGCGCGAGCTTTCTCCTCTCCGGGTGGCCATCTCCAAACGCTGCTTGGAGAGCGAAAGGGCCCGGCCCTGCGAGGGCTGCCTAGACCTTGAAGTTTGGAAAAACAACAAGAAGAGATTGAAAAGGCTCCCTCCCTTCTCCGCAGACACACACGCACCGTCAGGCCGCCGCCACTTCCTGCCTTTGTTTTTCTTCCTCCAAAACATTTTTGGCCTTTTGCATTAGCTGCCGTGGGGTTCTGGGTTGAGGATAAAAGGAAATACATGCTGAAGACTGTTTTCTGGAGATGGCCCCGCGCTGTGGAGCTCCTGAGAAAGAACAGTTCACGGACAACCAGCCGCCAGGGCCAATGTCATAGCCTTGCCCACCCGATCTCCTCAAGAAATGCATCTCGGACTTGGCTTTCCAGGGTGGGCTTAGCACCCGTCAGGTCTTCCCCTGAGCCGGGTGGGCTCCCTCCGGCTGTTGGGTCTCCTGCAAAGCGGAAGAGTCGGTTAGGCTCAGAGCAAAGTCAAAACTGAGGAGCTGCACCTCTACGTCCCCGGCTTCCCCATATTTGGTCTGATTCTCGGATCTGCGACCCTCCCCCCAGCTACCCACCCCCTACCCCATGCAAACATTCACTCTGCCAGGATGTTCCTGGCAAGAGGGGCAGGAGCGGGCAAAGCTGGGAACAGTGCGAAGACTTGGGGATCGGAGCCCCCCCTCCTGTCTTTGCTGGGGATGTAAAAGCATTTGACACTCTGGGCGTTTTCTCTTCTCCTGGCATCAAAAGCCTTTCCCTTCTTGCATCCTCACTGCAACACCCCCACATGCCCTCTACCAGGCTGTGTGTCCCCCCTGGCACCCCGCTTTGGTACAGCCTTCTGTACTGAACTGCCCCGCCGACCGCATTGAGAGAGCCTTCCTCCACCCTAGCCTTTCCTCGGAAATTTGCCTTTGTCTCCTGCAGACACCCATGGGATCCAGACCTGCTGGCACCCTCTCCGCTTGGCTCTCAAGGACCTGGGAGGCATTGATCATGCAGAACAGCATATATCCCCATACTGACCTTTCTGCCAGGAACCCCTCTTCCTGGGACCAAGGGGGAAAACGATCTAATTAGGAGAGGGGCTGCGTGCCGCTGGGGGAGGCGGCCTGGCGTCCCCCGCTGGCGGGCCACCGCAGCCGGTCTGCTCAGCCACAAGCTGAAGTTGACTGCCAAAACTGCTATAAAACCCCAGGTCTGTCTAGAACTGTTTTCGGTTCTCCTAGACGCCCCCGGGTTCAATTATAGTCTTAAAAGCCCTAATACAAGTGCAAGAATTTGTTTGCCTTCACCCAGGGGCGGGGCAAGCCCCGAAATGGTGGCGCCTTTGTTATGGCAAAGTCACTGAAACCCCTCAAGCATTCCTTTTGTTCGAGGGTCGGGGTGGCGGGGACTGGGTGGGCTGCTGGGAGATAGTTTGGGAAAGCCAAAATCAAGCCAGGGAACAGCTCAGATAGTACTGTTCACAAACCTCTCCTTCTCCATTGTATATTCTGTCTCCAAGAAAGAGATGCTGTGGAGAAATAAATATTTTGCCTTGTTGGTCACTGCTGGAAATCGAAGTTTTTTCGCTGCAGGGCAATCCCGTAACTGTGATTCCCAGCTTTAGGAGGTCTCAGGCTGCCCTTCCCCAGCAACCTTCCTTCCCACCAGACCTTCTCACTCACACCGCTGCTGCTCTCTGTACAAGCCACAGTGAACAAATATGTCCAGCTGAAGATGCACAAATAATTTCGAGTTCAACTCTCGGGGATTCAAGGGGTATGAAAGTTCTTGCAGCAAATCCTGAATAAAGAGTTCATGAAACCAATGTGCCCAAGTAGTTTGATTTGTGATAAGCAACCCTTGTAAAGGAAGGGGGTAGAAGCCACATAAACATTAATGCAAATAAATTGGTTTACTCCACTGCAGAGTAATTACTTGATATTATTGATATTTACAGCGGGTATTCACATGCAACGGTGGGCCATCATTTGGAGAAAATACATAATGAGAATAGTTCTTTTCCAGTGCAATACATGATTAGATTTGTTATTGAGTCAGTTACAGTCAGCTCAGCAATAAATAAATAAATCGATGTTGACACTTAAATACCAAAGATCTTAGAGTTTATACTCTAAATCTCCCCAAGATATATAAATACCTTCAGCTATTTCCTCGATGGGGAAAGGGAAAAGGTTATCCTTTTTCATTTTTCGACTTTCCTTCAGTGACATCCAGCTCCTTCCAAGAAGATAGGTGTGGGAAGGCTTCTGGGCCCCTCCCAGTCCCCAGTCCTGCCTGGCTGCTCTATGCCCTCTTCTTTCACTTCTCCCAAACGACGATCATTCAATCCTGCAGGATGGCAAGCATTTTTCACCATCTTAATGTTTTATTCTTTCCTTTTCCCAAGAAAGCTAGACCCCTACTAGCAGTTATGACCCCTGTCTCTGTCTTTGGCTCAAACCTAGCCATTTCAGGGCGTTCTTGTCACCCACGGTGCCGGGGGTTTGGGAAGCATGGCTCTTTTCTTTAGCATTGTGTTCCTTCTGTGGGATGAGAGGCAGAAAAGGCGCGGAGCCTTCTCAGTTTCTGCTTGCACATCACTGGCTCTCACGCTTTGCAAGGAAGGAGAGGAGGCGTGTTACCCCTTTCTCAGCCACAGCTCCCTGGCCCTAGCCTCCTTCCTCACTGCCCCCACTCTCCTTCAGCTCTGCAGCTCCGCTGGCAGCCTAGTGGGCCCCCGGAAGGTGCAGCATACCCAGGAAAAGGCTCCTCGGATGTCAGCGCCTCTAAGCAGCCCAAGGCTCGCCTCCACTGCATGGTTTCCCGAGTCCTCAGCTCCAGAAGACCAGGCAGGCGGGCGGACCCGTGCACAGTGGCGCAGCCCCCACGCCTCTGGCTCCGCCGAGCAACTCCGAACCCCCGGCAGGCAGCGAGGAGGAAGAGGTTTCTTCAAGGGCAGGGGGTGAAGTGAGGAGGTCGGCAGGGAGGATGAAGTGGAGGTGGATCCCGGGTAAGACGAAGGCCCTTCCGGGACCTGCAGATGACTGACAAACCGCGGGGGAAGTCGCCCTGGTTGTTGGTGGTTTAAGGACGGAAGGCACTAAAGCGCTTCGGAAGTGACCATGAATGCGAGCGTGTAATCAAGTCACCGTGCAAATCGGGCAAGCCACGAGGCAGGCACATCCACGGCTGCGAACCCTGGCCCCGGAGGGGTCCGGCCGGAGTCGGAGACAGAGATGGTTCCCAGAGCAAGCTTGCGGGAGGGGGAGAGCGAAGGAGGTGCGAACGCGAGCCTCCAGGAGAATAGATTCCAGGACCGCGCACGGGCCACACAGCCACGAGCTCCCACCCGGCCACCCCCAGCCTGGGGCATCCCTCACCCGGGGAGTGATGGGTGGCAGGAGTTGAGCTCTCTCACCGCCCTCGGAGCACTTGAGGGCCAGCACCGTGCAGCTGAGCACAAGCGAGCGGCATGGGGCGCACCTCAGCCTTGCCGCGCGCCGGGAGGCCCCCCAGCCAACATGAGTTACACCGGCGATTACGTGCTTTCGGTGAGAACACCGAGTGACGATCTGTTGCTTCCCCTGAGGTGGCTACAAAGAAAGGAAGCCGGGGAGGGGGGGGGAGGAAAGGGGGAAAAAAAAAAAAGGCCCGGACCAGCTCGCAGCTTGTCAATTTCAACATCGGGTCACATGACCAGCACCTCCCTGCTAAGGATGGGGATAGATTTCCACGTCAGCTTACGTCTCCAAATTTCTACTTCACGGATCCGCTTCAAAGAGGCAGCTGCAGTGGAGAATCATGTTAAGCTCGGCTACTGCGGAGAGCCCAAGGTAGCCCAATGATGGATTTTGATGAGCGTGGTCCCTGCTCCTCTAACATGTATTTGCCAAGTTGTACTTACTACGTCTCGGGTCCAGATTTCTCCAGCCTCCCTTCTTTTCTGCCCCAGACCCCGTCTTCGCGCCCAATGACATACTCCTACTCTTCCAACCTGCCCCAGGTCCAACCCGTGCGCGAAGTGACCTTCAGAGAGTACGCCATTGAGCCCGCCACTAAATGGCACCCCCGCGGCAATCTGGCTCACTGCTACTCCGCGGAGGAGCTGGTGCACAGAGACTGCCTGCAGGCGCCCAGCGCGGCCGGCGTGCCTGGCGACGTGCTGGCCAAGAGCTCCGCCAACGTCTACCACCACCCCACCCCCGCCGTCTCGTCCAATTTCTATAGCACCGTGGGCAGGAACGGCGTCCTGCCGCAGGCTTTCGACCAGTTTTTCGAGACGGCCTACGGCACCCCGGAAAACCTCGCCTCCTCCGACTACCCCGGGGACAAGAGCGCCGAGAAGGGACCCCCAGCGGCCGCAGCGACCTCCGCGGCGGCGGCGGCGGCGGCGGCGGCAGCAGCAGCGGCCACGGGCACGGGCACGCCGGCAACTTCAAGTTCGGACGGCGGCGGCGGCGGCTGCCGGGAGGCGGCGGCGGCGGCGGAGGAGAAGGAGCGGCGGCGGCGCCCCGAGAGCAGCAGCAGCCCCGAGTCGTCTTCCGGCCACACTGAGGACAAGGCCGGCGGCTCCAGTACGTATAAAGGCAGCGCCCCGCGCTTTATGAAAGGGGAGTTGGAAATCTAGCGCAGCACCGCTGTTAAATTTTTATATGCTGTTTTATAAGCATATAAGGTTTATGAAGGGCCTTTAGGTTTCCCCCAACAAAACTTTGTTATAAAAGGCGGGATCACGTGGCGAGTGCTGAAATTGGCCGTGAAATACCCACCGGCCAAGGCATGCCTGAAAAAAAAAAAAAAAGAAATCCAAAGGAAAAAAAAAAAAAAAAAAGAACCCTACACACACAACTCCCTTTTCCCCTTTTTTCCCTTCTGGGTCCCAAGCCCAGCAGCTCGACCCCGCTCGGGGCCAGCTCGGGCCGGGGAGCCGGAGGTGGGCGCCTGTAAATTCCCCCTGCAAGGGCTCCGGGAGCCTTTGATAGCGAGGTAATCCGGAGATTTTTATAAAAGCCATGTGTTGCGCCGGGACGCCAGTCCCGGCCGGGATTCAAAGGCATCGCTGTTTAACGATGGCGCTAGGAGCGTGTTTAACAGATAAAATAGCCCGCTTAGCTCGAGCAATATATTAAAAGAAACAAATTAAGCCAAAGTTGGCCTTTTTATCCAAAGGAAGCCATTTTCCTCTGGCGCGGTGGCAATTACGTGCCGCCTTCTGTCCCACTGCATGTTACTCACAGTTGTTATTCAATCTGTCAAAAGCGGGGTTTTTTTTCCTCTCCGTCCTGTGAAGTTTTATTGAAAAGGGGAGCAAGTCGAGTCTGCCCGCAGCTTTAGGAAACCCCTCTTCCCTCCACGGTATCTAAAACAGCACCCCCTGCCCTGCCGGGGACCAGGATGGTTGTGTGGCCATGGTGCTCAGGGAAGGCCCATGGTAGGGGGCTTCCGCTGCCACCTCCTCACCTCTCGGAAGCCAGGAGGCTGGTCAAGGAGGCAGGAGCTGGTGGCCAGGACTCAGGCTGACAAAGACCCAGCAGCGGCCTAGGATGCTAGAGGAGGGCCGAGTCCCCGTCGCAGCCGGGAAAGACTCGGGCTGGGGTCGACTTTACTGCCTCGGGAGCCGGCCGCCCAGGTGCTGGAAGGTGAAATGTCCGCTGGCGGCTGTTTGTTTAGTCTGGCGGGGCTGGAGGCAGCCGGCGACCCCCTCTGGGCAGCTTTGAAAGCCGCTTCTGGGGCACCGACCGGCCTGTTGCTGTAAGAAGCCCCCCTTTCTGCTCTGGGGGCAGCATGAGCAGCTTCCCTGGGGGCCTATCTAGGGAGCTGGCTTTTATCTGGGGCTGAGTCTCCGCCTGCAGCCTGTCCCCAGCTGGCAGTAGGAACCTGAAGGCAGGGGACTGAGGAGAACTTGATGGGGCTAGGACAGGGCCTCCAGTCCCAGGGGCCAGCCCTTTTCCTCCACTTGGGGTTACATGATGGATTGCAGCCCCCACACCTGGCTCACTCCCCACTTCTTTCTCCCTCCACAGGTGGCCAACGCACCAGGAAAAAGCGCTGCCCCTACACCAAGTACCAGATCCGGGAGCTGGAGCGGGAGTTCTTCTTCAGCGTCTACATCAACAAAGAGAAGCGCCTGCAGCTATCCCGTATGCTCAACCTTACCGACCGTCAAGTCAAAATCTGGTTTCAGAACAGGAGAATGAAGGAAAAAAAAATTAACAGAGACCGTTTACAGTACTACTCGGCCAACCCGCTCCTCTAAGGCTCCAGACAGCTGGAATTGGGTGGGGGGCTTCATACATGGGGGATTATATGCAGATTTTGCCCTTGACAAGGTCAAGGCACGTGGTGACTTTTGAAGAAGAGAGATGTGCAAAAGAGGGGAGGCTGCATGGAGACAGCCTCTAAGAAGGCGGCCCCGGGACTCTCTTGGGCATCTGTGGTTAAGATTCCTAACAGAAATTGGATTTGGAGAGTTGTTCATCAACTAGAATGAATGGTTTGGGACCCCTGGTGGTTCATTCTTGGAGACTGTGGAGCTTTGGATTGGGTGTGGTCTCCATCAGGACTGGGCCTCCTGCCAAGCGCCCTGGAGATCGACCTGGGCCCAGGACCCTCCACATGGAGCCTGCCCACCCCCAGGACCCCTGCGTCAAGAAGCTATTCAATCTTGAAACCCCGTTCAGCTTGGGGACAGGAGCAGGAGGAAGGGGGGAGGATTCCTAGATATCTGGAGTGGGGCTGCTTTCCAAAGCCAGTGTGAAAGATGGCTGGACTAAGAGGTGGCTATGAGGTGGGAGAGGGCTGCTGATCCTGGAGGGGGAAAAATTGATTCCAGGTGGCATTAGCAGCTCTCCACCCCTCGTAGCCACTCACCGCACTATCCGAGGCCTGAGCTTCTAGAAGTCGCCTCCTGGAGCCCACCTAATTTTTCCTACCACTGAGGGTCTTCTTCCTGGACTGCCACTCAGGCCTAAAGCCTGGTCGCAGAGCAGACCTTTCCCGAGGTGGAAGACATCAAAAAGCTAAGAGGTTGCACCCAGGCCTCTGGCCCCAAGATCTCTGCAGGAAATGCCTGTGGTGTGCGGCAGCCTGGGAAAGCCTCTGCCACACTTAACTGAAGCTTGGATTTGCTCAGCAAAACAGTGGGCATGGCCAGCGGTCCCCAGCTACGAGGGGCTTGAGTCCCCCAAACACCCAGTCTGGCACCGCACTCTGCCCTTCGCGCCCCAGAACTGAGCTTGGAAGCTTCCAGCAACCTTCCAAGAGCTCAAGAGCGTTTGGAATTATTTTAAAAAATAAATATTATATTATATTATATATATTTCCCTGCAGGAACCAAAGCGAATTTTAAAAGATGCAACGTAGAGAGGGAAAAAGATGATGAAGAGAATATTTAAAGGCTCTGTTTACAGTGTTCCACGGTTAAACTCACTCACTGCTAAAAAAAAAAAATATTTGAATGTACGCTTCATACAGGGATGGTGTTCAAAAGACTTGTAAATAAAAGAACCGTAACCTATTTTGTTTGAATACTTTTTAAATTTTGCCATTAGTTGATTTCCTTGGGGTGTTGGAGGGGTGGGAAGGGTGTTAAGGAATGATCTTTTTAATTTCTTGCAATGTTTGGAAAGCATTAGGAGGATGCTCTGAAGTAGTTTGGCCCTCCAGGGTCTGGGGACCTCAGCCGAGAAAGCCAGGCACCCTCCCATTCAATCTCCTCTGCCTCCCTGTTTTAAGAAGTGTCTGGTGGCTCTGTTTGTAACAGGACTGTTGGCCTGTCCTCCGTTCTCACCCACCACGTATGTCGCAGCATGTATCAGGCGACAGGGCACAAGGAAAATAAAGACTGGAAACTTGAGTACTGGGTTCTGGTGTGACATTCCTCTTCCTGTTTGCCTTTTACTGCCAAATGTCTGCCCCCCCACCCCCTCCCACCCCGCAAAAGGGGCAAGTTACCAGGCCTCTGAGGAGGTGGGGAGATAACTTAGGGTTTTAACTCCACTAGAAGCCAAGTTTGGGAAGACAAGATGACTGGCCATGGCGGTCCTTTGGGGAAGTGGGGGTCCCATGAATGGGGTATCTCAGGACCTGGAATTGGGGGTTTCATTCTTCAGGCTGGACAGAGGCCTGGGAGAAAGCCCTGGGGCTTGAGGTGGTCAATGAGCTTGATCCCAGGCTGGGCTTACTCACCTCAGGTTTAGGAGGCCTAAAGTGGAACCACTCTAGGGTGCCCTGGGGATCCCCGTAGGAAGACAGAGACCAGTCTGGGTATAAAGAGCAGACTCTCAGGAGCCTCTATGGACACTTTGTCCCAAGCTCCCAACTGAGGCTGCCTTTTCCCTTTAGGGAAAGAAAGATGCCGGTTTACTCTTTGTTTCCTGCCTTTGAACTTCTGCCTTAAATTTGGACATCACCCATAACCTTGAGGGGCAGGGCGGAAAGGCCAGAGCCTTTTGTTGCTCAACCCCCACCTCTACTCCCACCCTCTCCCTAGCCACCCAGGCAGGGCCAGAGCTGCAGAGAAGATCAAATTTGGAGAGAGGCCCCATACCCCAGACCTGCTTTGTTTATTTGTTTGTGTGTTTGTCTAACTGGCGCGACTGGGGAAATTGAGCTCAAAGGGGAATGGGACAGATCCCCTAGATGAATGTCTAGGTTGATGAACAGACACACCGAGGTGAACAACGACTCTCCTGGGGGGCAGGGAGGGGTGGGCAGGGAAGCCCAGGATTTAAGCAGAAGACTTCCTTTGGGACGGTTAAAGATTAACCAAAGTCTTGCAAGTTGCTAGAGAGAGTCTAGCCAGGGTACTGTTCGCCGGCGGGCGGCGAGCGGGCGCGGGTTTGATTTCTGAGCCCTATAAAAGCCCATCCTCCGATGGCTGTGACAATGTGGTCGTAAACCCGCCCGGGGCCGGCCAATTTGCATATTTGGAATGCGCCGCTATAAACCCGGCTGGGGTTTTGCAGCAATTTCTTAGATGTAAAAATGAGATCTCTTTAGCAGCGGGCTGGGCACATTCTTTCCCTCCGTCTATGCCTAGAGCCTGCTTCCCTCTCCCGGCTCAGGGCTGAAGTTCGGGCCGGGCCTAGTCGCTCAGCCGCCACGAGATGGCGCACGTCCGATCAATGTCAAAGCCGCCAGGGAGCCGGGAACCCCTGCGCGATTCTTGGCCTTTGTTCGTTTCTGATACTAAGAGCAGCACGTTACACTATTTCACTTGTCCCGTTTCCCTTAGTATCAAAATAAGGGGGGCAGGCTCACCTTCAAGAAGTAATTGGTGTTGTAATTTAAAGCAACGTGCCTTCTGTAGGCCTCGCAGGCATCGCGCCGCGGAGAAGCCCGCTGTCCCTTGGCAGTGATTTCGGAAATGTGTCAAGGTAAGAGGCCACAAGTTTAGCAATTTCAGTCTGGCTGAGTCGGGAGTGGGGAGGTGGCCGATGTCAGAGCAGGATTGGGCAAAGTGGCTGGGCTTGTGTGCTCCGGGTGACGCTACAGGCGCTCAGCCCACCCCCCTTCCTGCCATCGCTTCTTAAGGTTGGAAAACAGGGGGAGGCCTAAATGGAAAAGTTGAGGATTTTAGACCCTTGTGCCAGCAATTCACCCAGGGCGATCTTTCAGTTTTGTAGAAATATTCAGAATGGGATGAGTCAGGCATGAGGGACATCCAAGCGAGAGGGTTCTGGCTGTGTTGGGATGGGGGTTGTGGTGGCAACAAAAAGACAGAGAGAGAGAGAGAAGGGGAGACAGTGAGAGAGATGGCGGGACTGGGGAAAACAAAGTTTCTACTCTAAACAATGAGGTGGTCAGCAACCGTGGCGGCGGAGGCCGGCATATTCCCTGGGGCAGACATCCGGGAGGTCTCTGGTTTTCTACTAGGTGCGGTCTCTATGTCTGCCCAGCAGCCTGGGGAAAACCTTTGTTCTGAAAAAGGCCAATTCAAGAAAGTCTCATATGATTTCTGAGGCTTCCAGAGAAAATCCACTTGCTTATTTGGAATTTACGGCTATAAACCTGGCTGGGGTTTTGCAGCAATTTCTTAGATGTAAATATGAGATATTTTGCAAATATGCAAAAACTGTATTGGTGTATACCTATACATTTTCAAAAGATAGCACTGAGGATAAACTCTGATCACAATTTCTCCATCAGGGTTGTCACAAAACAAGTTTTAAATACTCGTTTCACTTAACATTTCAGAGACTAGATCCAAATTTCCTCTTTTCTTATATTTAACTTTTTATTCCAATATGTTTTCATTAGCTTCTTGAAATTGCTACTTTCATAAATATATAGTGCAATGGGTGACTGGGGGGAGGGAATCACAGAGAAAATAGGTGCTGCTTGAGTGTGTGTGTGTGTAAATCTTGCTATCAAAAGTCACTAGTCTTTGTTGAGCATGGGCTCCCAAACTCTGCCAAAATAAGAGAACCACAGGAACCCCACCGAGTGCGCACCCGCACCGTGCTTTCTGCAGCCTGAGCCTTCCCTGAAATCCCAGAACCTCTTCTAGTTTCAAGGCCAGAGGCAGTTTATTATAGAGAAAATTAAGGATATTGTAATTTAGGGAGTGTGTGAAAAGGCCCCAACACTCCCCCATCAGGAGAAAAGGGCCAGTTTAGTGGTCGGATTTAGAGAAAAATTTAAAGCGGGTTGTTAGGGATAGATTGCACCTGATTAATTCAAAACAGACACATCAGATTTCCCTGGAAATGTGGACATTCCTAAAGATGAATAAGAAAAGAATGTCATGGCTTTCAAAAAAAAAATATCTCACCATACAGTAAATGTGAGAATCAGAGAAGCCCAGAATTCTTGTTAAAGGGGATATGTAAAAATAGCGTTTATTTTTCTTCTGTGGGGCCAGAGCCCAACTCTACACCCGGTGGGAGAATTCTGAGGCTGCAAAGTTCTGAGAACGATTTCCAAATACAAACCGTTTACTGGCTATCCCCATCCCAGTACCTAGTATTTTTAAAAAGAGGTGGGGGTTTGGGGTAGTAACAGTTTGTTATTCTGGGTCGTTTGCAAGGGCCTACTCCGAAGGAGGAATCCACTAACCGGCGAAATGCAACGGTGAGCCTCGTCAAAGGGCTCATTCCACTGGCCTGGTGTTTACTTCGGCTCATAGCCACAGGGAGGGGGAACCGTTATCAACCCAGGTAGAAATCGGCGATATTTATTCCTAAATAAAACGTGGGGGCTGCACATAATGGCTATACAGGCCTGGCTGAAGGAAGAAGGCACCGAGAGAGTTTT